AAGTAGTTGCAACTATCGCTTGACCATACCATTTGCCCCCATCTCTTTGGCTCGGGCAAAACGACCTTTGCCCGAACCTATTTGGAGTTGTTGCAAAGGTTTGGNGAAACTTTTCTGTCGAAATTTGCTTCGGACCCTTCCAGGAGAACCTTTTTGGAGAAGCTGAAAAGGGCTTCATTGCTTTATGTGGATTTAAAGGAGTTGAAGCCAACTCGACCCATCGAGGAAAAACGAAACCTGAAGTGGGCAGTGTACTATTTGTTAATCAAGGCTGCTTGTTTGCAATCAGGTCTTCCGCAACCAGACCCGGACGAATGTTTCAAGGAACTGAAACTNAGGACNGATGCTTTGGTTCAGAAAATCCGTTCAATCTTAAACATTCCTTCCGATCAATATCTTTTGGTGGCATTNGACGAAGTTGGTGTCCTNGACGAAAGTCTCGACGAATTTCATTTCAAGAGAACCCANGACGGNAGAGTTCGACCTTACAACGACTTTTTCGGTATCATNAGTCAATTGTGCAAAGAACCCGACTTGTTTTTTATAGTTGTTGGGAAAAGCAAGGGTTTAAGTATNAAGAANGATGTGGCTTTTGGGCTATCAAGAGTTATACTACATTTTATTTCTTTATCACCTTTGGACGCTTCCAGTATCGTNGAATTCCTNGAAAAGAGTCTTCTAAAGACACCTACTCAAGTTCCGGTTTGNAATGTCTTATGNAGTTCTTCATTTTCAGTAAANGAATTGGCAGATTCGTTATTGGAATGTACAGGTGGAGTTCCTGGTTTGTTGACTCGTGCTGTGAATATGCTTTTGAATTATATAATAGCAAGAAATCAGCCTTTCATATCGAAAGAAGAATGTTTGACTTGTATGAANGACTACGATTTCCGAATAATTTGTGCNGAACCATTTTTGGAACGAATATTGAATTTGGACGAAGANAGAAAAAGTGTTTTNGATTTACTTTTGATGATGGCTCTTTTTCGTATACCGTTTCAAGTAGANGATATATTGACCTCGGAGTCCTTTTTATANGATGCCGTCACNGAGATGGGATTATATCGATATCCTATNGACCAGAATACTTTGCAAATTCTTATTCCAAAAGTATTTGTTGGAATCTTCAAGAAGGACCCTTCCATATCTTCTTTGGAAAAGATACTTCTCGAATCACTNGATGTCGAACCAGTAGATTGTTTCTTCTATTCAAAGTGTCGTGTATTNGAAGGAATTGTTGCTTTACGACTAGTTTTGATGTTGTCTTCAAAGAATCGAAANGAGTTGAGGGAATTGTTGTGTCAATTGTCTCCGATATGGAAACAAATGAAACTTCCAATCAGTACAATATCACCTATTCACTATATGAAGTCTGTTGTNAGTTCNAGAGAAACAAGAAGNGAATCGAACAAGAGTCGAAGAACTTTTGCCAGTACNGAATGGAANAAGATTATTCGAGAGACACTTTATTTAGAGACTGTTTACATTCCTTTGGACGCTACTTCTCANAGTCCNGATATTATATTCCAATTACAATCTCCTGTGGAACCCAAAGTTCTTACTGTTGGAGTTGCTTGNAAAGGACGTTGGAGGTCGGAAGGAATTGGCTGGTCAGATATTATAGANGAAGCCAAGAAATTTTTAGATCCTGTTTANGATCAAGTCTTATCCAGTGCAGTGGATTATCATCATTGTATGCTTATTGTCGTNAGTACAAAGTTGTCATTGAATGTTTCNAANGAGTTGGGTAATTAGAGTCGTTGTTACTCCAGTGGAATGTTTATTGGAGGNGATTCTTTCAAAGTACCNGANAATTGNGAACTTGTTATTCTTTGNGAAAGAGATGTCCAAATGCTGATNGACAAAGAAATATTGAATGGACTNGAAAGAGCATTTTGTGTTTCTCANAATCCTACTTTTTGGGATTTTGGATTAGATTTACTNGANAGAATCCGNAACAGTTTCTTAAGTTGGCAATAGATTCTAACTCAGTCCTTCACTTTGTGATTTGTTTTGAAGAGCAAGTAAACTTTTTTTTGTATGTTTGAAACTCGGTTACAACTTATTTGCTTTCACTCTGAGGATTATTGTCTTAATATGATACTAACCACGAAAATCAAAATAAGCCTATTGTTGCAAAAGTCACTGTCACAGTTTGACAGGTCTTGTTTGCTTCTTGTTACTTCTCAGGAGAGTGTCCCAAAGTGTTGATAAATGGGTTTTATACAAGGTATTGTATTCGTCAAAGACTTTATTTATGGTTCGCCTTAAGTTGAAAGTTCCTCAGCTGATTATTTTCTAATAGCTCAGAGAAGTTGTTTTTATATACAATTGCACACAAACCAATATCCACTCTTTATTACAAAAAAATGAAAAAGATAGTTTTTATCTAAAAGGCAAATCATGTTCTTATCAAGACTTGTTCTAAGCTTCAAAAGACTTTCGTCGCAATCAAGAATTTGAGCATTGGACTGTTGGAAGAAGATTGATTGACCATTGTTGTATTTTACTGTCGCATAGTTTACTTCATAGCTTGCGATATGTCTAGTGAGCTTGAACCAGAAACCGTATATGACATGGTTGTAGTACACCGAGAAAATGATGTTCGTGTAGTAACACTGCAGTTATTTCAGCTATACACTCTCCGTAAACTTGGTCGCCCTTTCAAACCAGTCATACCCTTTGGTCCCCACCTCTTCGGAAGTGGGAAGACGAAATTCGTACAAAGTTACTTGGAACTGGTGAATAATATGGGTGAAAGTGCACTGATAGGTCTCGATTACGTTGGTGAGTCTGAGAAGGCCAACCGAAGAGGTTTCCTGGAGAAGCTGAAAAGGGCTTCATTGCTCTTTGTGGATTTGAGGGAGTTGAAGCCCACAGAACCGAAAGAACGCAACCTAAAGTGGGCAGTCTACTATTTGTTAGTAAAGGCTGCTTTTTTGCAATCAGGTCTTCCGCAACCAGACCCGGACGAATGTTTCAAGGAACTAAAACTTAGGAGTGATGCTTTGGTCCAGAAAATCCGTTCAATCTTAAACATTCCTTCCGATCAATATCTCCTTGTGGCATTTGACGAAGTTGGTGTGTTTGATACAAAGGGAACCTTTTTTGAACTGGAGAAGAATGACAAAGGTGTGGTTCGACCTTACAACGACTTTTTCGGTATTATTCGTGAGTTGTGTAAAGAACCCGACTTGTTTTTTATAGTTGTTGGGAAAAGTGAAGGCTTAAATATATATAATTACGTAGCTTCAGTCTCAAGGGTTCAGTTAGTGTTTATTCCTCTTTCGCCGCTTGAGAAACATAGTATCGTGGAACATTTGGAGAAAAGTTCTTGCTTTTTATTCCCTGGGAGCCCAAAGGTTTCAGAAATTCTTTGTCACGAAGACTTCTTAACTAGTGAACTTGCAGAGTTGTTGTTGGAATTGACTGGTGGTGTTCCTGGTTTACTTGTTCGAGCAATCAGTTACCTTTTGCTGTATAAATCATCCAACATCAATTTGTTATTATCTAAGGAAACCTTCTTGATCATAATGAATAGCTTTCTAGTAACAAATTATTGTGTTGCGCCATTCTTACCTCGTCTGATAGATAAGTCTCAGTGAGCAGCGTAAGCGCTTGTTAAGAATGCTTACGTTATTATCTTTGTATCGTATTCGATTTGATTTTGATGAAACTGTGCAAATGAGCTCAAATTCTGATGTGTTTTTGTTTGATCTAGTTACAGATATGTGTCTCTATCGTCGATTGGTTATAGAACCAGACCGCAACGAACGCTATGAAGTGTTGATACCCAAGTTACTGATTGAATATATTGACCAAGGCTTAAAGGATGATCGTTTAGAATGGTTACTTTTACAAACTCTCAAGTCTCAATCTGTTGATTTCTTTTATGAGTCGAAATGTCGAATTTTGGAAGGTCTTATTGCTACACTGTTTTATTTACATTTTTCTCGGCGTCCTATAAACAGCTCAATGTTTTCTACTCTTGGTCAATTGTCTCGTGTTTGGAATGAAATGAATTTACAATTTTCTTCCGAATCTGCTGCTTATTATATGAAATCTATACATTATACCAGAGCTGTATCAGGAACAGAGAGAATGACATTTGGAAGCAATAATGAATGGGAAAGGATAGTGGAAGAAATGTTAGAATTTGAAAAGATATATATTCCATTTCATTCAACATCCCATAGTCCAGATATATTATTCAAGTTGCATGGAAGAACGAATGAGAAGAACTTGATGATTGTGGGTATTGCTTGTAAAGGCCGATGGAGTCGTAATGGTATTCGATGGAATGAGATTTGGAAGAAGCTCACAAGT